CATCAGGCATCACCGAGATACTTTCCTGAAAAGTGAGAAGAAGCATATGGGTAACCAACAGACTGAGCACTTACCACAGAGACATATAAGACACCTGCCCCTCTCTCATCACTCCCCTTTTGGGTAAACGTCTCCAAAGATTTTTCCAACATTCACCATTTCCATCTCCTTACTTTCTACCTCTTCAACCTAGTTTCTGCCTCTATCAATTTAAAACAGTTCTTGCTGAGGTCAAAGACTCCATCTTGCTAAATTCAACACATCATTTTCAGTCTACACCTTTACTTGATGACTCCTCTTTTTAAAAATACTCTCTTCTCTTACCTTTTATGACACATCTTAAACTGGAATTAAATTCTAAAGTAAGTGTCTAAGATAAAAATCAAATATAGTTTAAATTACTCTTGAAAATGCTTTAAATGGCCTATTCATTAAAGCATACCCATTTTTTTGTGTACAAAACTCTATGTAGTAGTGAACAGTATACATTATATATATACACACATATACATATATACATACACACACACGCAAAACAAACAGTAAGTATACCTTCAGAATAGAAGAGTTCCTCTCATCTAATTAAAAACACCTTTAAGCATATTGGGTTAAAAGTTTGCATACCTCAACTGCCAGCAAGGTGCCATTCCACTGTACCTCTCTGACCACATCTCATCGCTTTCCTGGGGCTACCCTCCTTCACCCAGCTTTGAAATGCTGGGCCTAAGCCCTCTTCTCTTCTTTGGCTTTATCAATGGTTCTCAACTTCCATTACTCAGTGGAATCACCTGAGGATCTTTTAAAAATCCCAGGCTGCAATTTAGACCACATAAGCAGAAATAGAAATTTCTGAGGTAGGCCCCAGTATCAGTAATTTTTAACCATTCAATGTTTCACTATTTCATACTTTCCTCCTAAAACTGGGATCACACACTCAAATGCCTACAGGGTCAGAGAAGTAAATAAACAAAGCAGGGCAGGAATAAGTTGTATGAGTGTCAGGCTCTCTGGTGAACTAGAAAGCAGCTTGGATCAGCTGTGACTTAGCTCCAATCACTTGCTGCCACAAGGAAACCCAGCTCAGTAGTGCTACATCTTCTCACTTTCAAAGAAAAGCCCCAAATCTGGATTCTCGTGGGAAATTTTCAGATTTTAAATTATTGGCAACTAACTCAAAATTAAGCAACAACAAAAACTATTGTATGTGAAAAACAAAACACATGTGTAAACCAGATTCAGCTACGGGCTCTGGGTGTGCAACCTCTGCTCTGGGTAACACCATCTATGCCCTGCAACTTACACCTAAATATCTGTATCCCCCGTTCAGCCCACTCCTCTGGGCTCTGGATTTGAATTATCAAATGCTTATGTGACATCTCCAATTCTCATCAGCCCCAACGTGAACTGCAATTTAAATTACCTCAAAACTATTTATCCTTTCAGTGTCTTCTAGCTCAGGGAACAACTCCACCATTCACCTGGCTGGGAAAGTGAGAACCTTGGGCTTCATCCTATGCACCTGTTTCTCCCTCTCACTGCTTGTACCGTATCAGTTATCAAATTCTGTCAATTATGCCTCCTAAATATCTCCCCTGCACCCATCTACTTCTCTCCATCTCCTCTGCTACCACCTTGGTCCCAGCTGCCATCTTTCCTTTACCATCCCACAATGTGGTTTGCTCTCTGTAGCCATGGATGTGAACCCACAGATATGGAGGACTGACTGTACTACTTCATTTTAAATAAGGGACTTGAGGACCTGTGGATTCTGATACCCACGGGGTCCTGGAACTAATCCCCAGGGGATACTGAGGACCGACCATATTTGCCAGCTCAGGCTGCCATAATAAAATAACTTAGACTGGGTGGCTTAAACAACAGAAATTTATTTTCTTACGTTCTGGAGGGTAGACGTTCCAGATCAAGGTCTGGCATGGTTAGCTTCTGGTAAGGACTCTCTTGTTGGTTTGCAGATTGCTACCTTCTTAATGCGTGCTCACATAGCCATTCTTCCCTCTTTTTCCTATAAGGCCGCCAGATTAGGGCACCACCTTTATGATCTCATTTAACCTAATTACCTCCTAAAAACTCTATCACCAAATATAGTCACAGTAGGGTTTAGGGCTTCAAAAAGCAATTTTAGGGGGACACAATTCACTCTACAGCACACTGTAACCTACAACACTCCATAGCACACGGTAACGTCAGTTGTCTCCAACATTCACTCTTCTTCCCTTCCAAGCCATGCTCTCCAATATGACCAGAGTAGTCTTCTACAACCACAAATAAAAGTAATCTTTTACAAAAACACTTACATATATGTGCACACATATTTGATCCAACAATTCCACTTCTAGGAATTTATCCCATATATATATATTCACACACATGTGAACTAGCATATGCATAGTGCTATTATAGTAAATTGTTGGAAACAATTGAAATGTCCCTCTATTATAATCTGTGGTGTACCTACACAATGGAATACTATAGAGTCATTCAAAAGAATAAGGAAACAATATATTGGAATGGAGACTTCCAGGACACTTAAGAGAACAAAACAAGGAACAGAACAGTGTGTACAGTATGCTACCATTTGTGTAAACAACAGAAGAAAAGAATATGCATTTGCTTGAATGCCCACAGGAAATGTCCAGAAAGATACACAAAGTGGTAACAGTGGTTCCTCCTTTGGCAGCTATGGGGAAGACGGCAGCTAGGGGAAGGAGAAGAGCCCACTGCAGACATTCTGATCTAATGGGCCTGGAGCATGGCCCAGGCACTAGTATTGTTCGAAGTTCCTCCTGTGATTTTAGTAAGCAGGCTGGACTGAGAACTGCTGCTTATCTCCTTTCCCAGGTTCATTTTGTATCATCCAGCCCCTATCACTCTCCATCCTCTAGCCACACTGGCCTCTGAGTTTGCAGAAAAGGTACTGTTCCTTCTGCCTGGAATATTGTCCCCCTAAGCTTGCCTTGTAACTTCTATTTATTCTTCAGAGTCCACCTCACCTTAAAGGTTATTTCCCAAGGAAGCTTTCCAAACTAGGTCAGGACCCTTGTTTTATGTACTCAGAGTGCTCTGTACTTCTTCCAGAATCTATCACAATTATAATGAGTAACTGTATAATTATACATATATGTCTGTAATTCTCTTTAGACTGTAAGGTCCAGGGGTGCAGAGACCTCATCTGTGGTTTTTACTGCTGTATTCCCAGACCTGAGTGAACGTCTGGCTGGCAAAGAAGGCCCTCCCTCAGATATTTGTAAAATGAGTGAATAATTGCTCCTGCCCTCAAACCTAGTCGGGTAGAGAAAATCAACATAGAAGCAAATGAGAATAATGCAGTGTCACTAGAATTAAGACAGTAGTTTATCTAGAACAGTGGTTCTCAACGAGGGGTGATTTTGGCCTTGATACCTGGCAAGGTCTGGAGGCATTTTTGATTGTCACAACTGTGTGGGTTGTGTGACTATTTGACTGTCACAACTGTGTGTGTGTGGGGGCTACTGGTAACTATTAACTAGACACCTGGAATGCTCCTACACATCCAATAATGCACACGACAACCCTCCACAACAAAGAATGATCTGGTCCAAAATGTCAACAGTACCTATAATTTAGAGGATGGTCATATCTAAAAGAGTGATCAATTCTACTCTAGGCAGTGGATTTTTTGAGGGGAGGGGGAGTGGAATGGGGGATGGGGAAGATGTCAAGAAAAGCCTCAGAGAGGAATTAAAGCTTTAAGCTGTGTGTTGAAGAGTGGCAGGGACCCTATCAGTGTAGACTATGTTTTCCAGAGGTAATGAGGCCTCTGAAGAGTTTAAAAGCCAAACTGTGGTTTGAACAGCTACCCCCCTCAAGTATCTCATACTCCTATATTACTCACCTCCTTATTCTCTTCTTGCTGAAACAAAACTTTCATTCTCTTAGGGCAGTGGTTTCAGCTAACCACTAAAGTCAAATTAATTCAGACTAAGATAAAGTCAGATAGCCTTTTCACTCTCCAGAATGTTAGCTACATTTAAAAATATACAAATACTCATGAATACAAATAAATCTTTAACTGCTAATGTTCAGATTATTAGTAGCTAAAGCTATTTTTTGAACTCAGCAGTCAAGTTGGTCCTGGTAAAAACTTCTCCAAAGCTTTCTATTTTTTTTTAAAACTTTTGTCTTCCCTGTCCTTAATTTCTGAACTCCCAGATTTAGAAAAGATCCACAATTTTTCCACAAGTATCTCATGCTATAAGTTTTTCTGCCAGAGAGGACAGGAGAGACATTTGGATGCAATCAACGTGAATAAATTGTATGTATAAATTAGGAGTGGTCTACAGAGTCTTTAAAGGCTTCACTAAAAGTCATGGCTACTCCTGGAAGAAACGAACTTGAGATAATTTTAAATGGTATTACCAAGAAAGCAAGCCATGTTTTACTATAACACAAGCCTGCTACCTACTGAGCTGGAAGCACACGCTCTGCTCTAGTATGGCAATTCTTAGGGTCTCAGCCAGTGCTCTCTTTACAAGAAACTGAGGCCTGAGACTAATGAAGAACAAAGAAAAATGCCTGGCACGGAAGGTTTGGACGATGTTTCGTACATAAATGATTTAAGGAGGAACACTTCCTCAGATTTTGGAAGGCACTACAAATCACTTTTTGCTTACGTGTTAAGAATTTTTATTTCGTGTTTTCAGACCATTTTCTAATAAGAAAATACCTTACAATTTACAAAGAGCAATTTATCCTCCCTTACATTTGCTGACCACTAAAACTGGATACAATTTCCTCAAGCTCTACCAGAGTCAGAGGATTGGGAATAACGTGAGCACAGCATAGTTCAGCTGCAACATCAACTCCAAGATCGGCCAGCTGGTTTCCATCGAGAGGTCCCCCAGGAGAAAGACCCTGGGAGGCGGCGGCCGGGGTTGGCGCGAGAGTGAGACCCGCCGGGGCGGCCCAAGGGCAGGGCCGGGGTCTGCCCGGCCTCCGTTTACCTTTTTTTCAGGTATTCCCGCTCCCAGCCCGGCCCGGGATCCCGCCCGAGGCCCCGAGCTGGTGACACATCCTTCTTTGGCCAAGTCGGGCCGAGGTTGGGCAGGGGGCGGGGAAGGAAAATAAAGCCTCAGCGCCTAACGACGTGACTCTCAGTTCTTCCAAAACGTTGGCATTTGTTTCTCTGCCAAGCTTTCCTGTTAACAAGTTCCCGAGGGCTGTACGGGCGAACTGGCCCCGGAGCCCCGAAAGTGGGAGGGACCAGGCTGTCCCCCGCCTTCCCTCCTCCGTGGGCGCCTCCGGGGCAGGCCATTTCCACACCGCCTGGGCTGCCAAGGCCCGGGACCGAACTGGGCGTGCAGAGGCGCCCACACCACCTTCGAACCCCGACTTTCACGGCTCTCCCAGCCGGGACAGCGCCGCGCGGCCCCGCTGGCCCCTCCAGAGCCCTCCGGCCAGGCCGGTCTCCGCCCCCAGCCCCCGGCCCCGCCCGCCCGGGCCTCCGCGCGCCGCCCCCCGGCCTTGCCACAACCCGCGGGT